GAGTGTTGATCTTTCTGAAAGAAGACATTTGTGTCTTTCAAAGTTCAAGACCCCCTTTTATTTGTACTTCTCTTAACCAATATTAATTCCTTCTCTATTAATAGTATTTAAGAGCCAATTATTTAACGTTATTTTTTTAAACAAAAATGGCTTTATTTTCGTGTAAAAAAACGGGCATTAATAAAAAGTAAAAAAAAGAACTATTGCGATAAATTTTTCGAATGTATTCCCGATTTTTTTCCATTTGTTATGGTACAAAATGAACAAATAAAGTTTGAAATTAAATAACGTTATAAAAACTGACTGTACTCAAACTATTTTTTTATTATAAATAACTAATGAAGTTAAGTTGATTGGTTTTTTCAAAATAATTATAGTTTACTCTTCAATTTAAATCATATTATATTTTTGTCATTTGATAATGTTTGCTTTTCTTTTTTTTAAAAATTTAATTATTTTTTATAATTTTTTTATCATAAAACAACCATTTGAAATACCCAATCAATTTCAGTGGTATTATTGTTTTTGGACTTTCTATTTTGAGTGTAATCTAAAAAAGTCGAATATTTTTCAAACTTTTTACAAATACTATTTCATATAATAAAAATATTATTAAAAATAATTATACAATCGTTTTTCCATTTGAGGTTTACTATTTCATCATTTTTTTCGCACTCAAATAATTTGATCTTGACGTAATAATGTTTTTTTAGATACAAAAAAAAATAAAAAAATTGTTTTTCTTGTTTTCCTCAAAAATCTAAAAAACTTGTTTTTTACATCCAAATCTTATCTTTTCAAAATCAATAAATTACAAGAAGCGAAATTTAAAAAGTTAACAAATTCATATTGGTTTGAGATGAAACACTTAACATTCATCTCCTTGCAACATACTCAAACTCATTGCAATTGTTAAACATAACAAAACTCAAGTAAGATGTTTTAATTCAAATTATTAATAAAAACTAAAACAAAACTATATTATAGATTAATTCTTATTAATTATTCTATAGTAAAATAAATAATAAACTTCTTATTATTATAATGGTAAATAGAACTCAATCCATTCAGAAGAAGTCAATTGAATGAGCACACTCGACACCTCTGTGGAATTCTATTTGATTTAACAACACTTTTTCTTGTCACCTTCTGGGTTGACGCCGACGCCATCGTCGGTGGAGTCTGGCAAATTATCCATAAGTGTCTTGTTTTGTAATATAAGAGTAGTGAGTGCTTCGAAGACCTCTTTCACATTATTGCCGTTCAGTGCGGAACATGTCATCGACTTATAACCCTTTGGTTTCGAGAATTGTTCTGCTTGTTGGTCTGTGACTGTTCTCTCGTTGATGTTATCTGTTTTATTGCCGACAATGATGATTTCAGACTCCGGTTGTTCGCGTTTATATTCATCTATCCAGTAATCCAACATCTCAAATGTTCCACGGTTGCACACGTCGTAGACAACAAGACATCCCTGTGTCCCTACACATCAATCATTTTATACACTCAATGAATCCAACTTATATGGAATTCTACTCACTAATACCATCACTCGATAGCATGGAATCGTTCTGTAATACCATCAACAAACCTCTGTAGTAACTCGTTGTGACATTTCTAAACCGCTCCTGTCCAGCTATCTGTGAGTTTCTTTTCAAAAAAGTTCCTCTGCGTCAGTTGAATAACAAACCCGTGTCCCATATCTTTAATTTACACGTCGTACCATTCACCGTGACTGTTTTTGTGTTGAAGTCCATACCAATGGTCGACATGTAATCACCTTTAAACTGATTCTCACAAAACCTTTCCATCATAGCCGTCTTTCCAACAGAGGACTCCCCAATTACTAGGACTTTAAATGTGTAACTCTTTGCCATTCCTTTGCTTAACATTTTCAAGTTTGTTTTATTAAACGTTTTTTCGTCGGTCTTTTTTCATCAAAAACTTTCTATATATTATTTATTAACATTTTATTATATTCATTTGTTTTTGAAAAAATTTTCTTCTTTTTTTGAAATTTTATCGACTTTAACTTTTTGTTTAGTTATTTTACGTTTTTTCTTTTAATACATTTAATGGTTTATTAATTTATTATTAACAAAGTTTTTTATAATTTTAAAAAAGTAAAAAAAAAGTGTTTGTAAATATTGTTTTCAAAATTTTATTCAAATTTTATTTTTCTCACAAAGTAGTGAATTTTTTTTAAACTTGGGATTTCTATTTTTTTATGAAAAACAAAATTAATATTATTGTTATTTTTTTTATTAATGAAACTAAAAAAACGAATAAAAACACATTTTTTTAACCAATAACAATGATATATAAAACTATAAAATATATTGTTTTGTATTTTTAAATTTCTTTCGTTTCAAAAAAATGAAGATCTTGACGCGCTTTGACTCTTCAAGATCAAACCACAAAAAAATAAAATGAATTTTACAAATAAATGACCTTCCTCTTATTGATAGTTTTTTTCGGGTCTTCAGACAAGATTTTTACTTTTGTTATAATAGTTGGATCCACAAGTGTGTCGAGCGACAAAAGTAATTTTGAGAGTCTTTGAAATATCGTTTTGTAGTCCTCTTCAGTCCACCCATAAAAATTTGTCTCGAATTTTTTTCGTTTTGCCATCAAATCCAAAACCTCATGATTTTCTAATGCCAATACCATGAATTTTTCCTTCATCTTTATTACGATTATGCAGTATAGTTTGTATATAGCATCAATTAATATTTTTGAGGCTTTCTCGTTCGAACAAACTAAATACATGATGATTTTTCTGAGTGAGTGATCTCCATCAAACCAAACGCTTTCTTGATTTTTCGTGATTTTGAACAAAACGACAAGTAAAGTCCACACAAGTCGTTGACTTTTCTGTGCCAATTCGACTTCAAAAATATCGACACTCCCATCTAAATTGCCCACAACGGGAATTATCCCATTCAAAATCGCTACATAACATTTTTCAAAAACATTTTCAAAAAAGATACAAAACGCAAGATCGTATGAAGTGAACGAATTGGCGCATCCCTCCAAAAATCCAATCACGCTTTCATACAGTTTGAGATCCTCGTTTTGTTGTATCTTTCGCGTGACCAAAAAGCGTTCAAGTTTTTCAATAAAAAACTTTTGTAAAAAAAGAAGCCTTTCTGTCCCCAGCCCCAACTTCAGGGTTTCCACATTTTGGCTAAAAAAGAGGAAAAAGTACCACCTGAGTGCTGGGAGTACTTGTTCCTGGAACTCGTTCGCGGTCCATCCCATCTCCATTACAATAACAAAAATTGTTTTGAATGTGTCGAGAAAAGAAAATGTTTTACAAAGCCCGACGAAGCGTGTTGGGTTAATGAGGAATATTTTGAGGAACAAAATGACGACCTCTTTATATTCTGTCAAAAGGTATTTCTCGTGTACGGAGGTGTTAATGAAGTCTGGGATTTTGAAGAGAATAGAGGGGAAAATCTCTGTGATAATACCTTTAAAAAGTGCGCCCAGTTTATTCATGTTGGACTCTTTGTCGAAGCAAGTTGAGAGAATAGTAGTAATAAAGTAGACGGCTTCTGTCTTCCTCTCTAGTGTTGATTTTGAAGGGAATGCATACATGTACGACATTAAAGCGGGTTGAAGGTATTTGTAGTCATACCCTCCAAAGACGGGAAAGTCTGCTGCTGCTAAGAGAAGTTGTGTGAAGTGTTGGTCGAAGCTTAAGTGGAGCATCAACTTAATTACAAAGTCAAGTGCGTCCTTTCTGACTTGGAAGTCTGAGAAGAAGGAAAGGCAGTCGTCGAGAAAAAACAAGAAAAAAGGGTACGTCGCAAAAAAAGTTTGAGTGTTAATTTCGGTGTGTGACGAGATGATTAAATGTAATACAATCTGAACGTCTTCATTGTTTAACTTTCGAGCTAACTTTTCGTTTGTGCATTCACAAAGAAAGTTGTTCAATTCTAACATTAGAGGTACTTGTTGTGATGCTTCTTTGATCTCGGACATATACATCTCAATCCCTTTCTTGAGTTTAATGTCGCGAAGAGAACGTAACCGATTTTCTGTTGCAGATTTCTGGAAATATGGCAATTGAAAAATTTGAAGAAAGGTTGGTCTCATTAATAAAGATGTTAGAAAACAGTTTGCTTCGTTCAGTTCTCTTTAATTTACTATTATGGTAATAATATAGAACCTTATTATTATAGTTCTGGTTTTGTTGGCATATGGAAATGGGCTTTCATTAATAATTATATATGTTAGTTATTTATTTTATTGATTTATTTACAATCGTTTTTGTTTTTAATAAAAATAACTATATATGGTAAATATTTATAGTTAAAATAAATTAATTAAAAATATCTGAATGTTGAATTCCATCAAAAATATGTTTTATTTAAATCGTTTTCCACACAACATTATAAAACACAAAAAATTAGTTTAGAAATGAGAAGCGATCTCCAAGAAACATATTTCCACAAGCCAAGCTAAACATCATTCCACCAACATTTTCATTCTTTTCGACTTTTTTCCACACAAATTCGCTGAATTGGGTTGTATCAACAAGATGCACAAAAATACTTTCAGACATCCCGAGGTATTGAATAGGCTTTGTATTCATCTGATCATCCCCGTTGATTAATATTGTTGCCATCCGAATTTGTGTGTCCGAATACTCGGGGAACGGATAGATGACACTTGTCATGCGAAGCACTCGTTCGCCAATAAACCCAGTCTCTTCCGTTAACTCACGCATTGCACTTCGCTCAGGCTCTTCTCCGTCATCGATAAGTCCTGCTGGAAATTGCCACGTGTACCCAACGGGGGGACGGAATTGATTAATTACTACAAATTGTGACTGACGTTGCGTGACGGGGTAGTACACAATTGGAACAATTTCAACCCCTTTTCGTGGCTTGACACCACTTAACATCTCACACTTCTTTTCTTGTAACTGTCCATGTGATGGGACGGTGCGCTCAATAAGACGATAATGCGAACCAGTGACAAGTACGTGGTCTTTTGGGAGCGACATCAATAACATTTTTTAGTTGGAAAAACATTTTTATTTGCTTCAATGAAATTTTGAGTGGTTAAATAAACTATAATTATATTATATTTTAATGGTTTTATTAATGAAATTTGAAAACCAATAATTATTATTATAATATTTACATACTCTTCAATACATATGGCTATTAACTCACCTCTCACTTTTAAAACTCACTTGTCAAAATATGACTCACTACTTCGCTTTTGACTCACTTTTATAAAAGTAACTCACTTAAAAAA